TAAAATTAACGTTTAAATGAAAAATCTAGAATATATTGAAGCCCTGAGCTCAACATATGAAGGTGAATAAGTAAATTTGGTAAGACTTGAAGCTCTCAGAGAGAATGTATTTCTAAAGCGAGATAGTCCGATCAAATTTGGAGTATCATATTCTTACATCTGACAAATCTGAAAAATCATAGCATAAACCTCTGGTAACAGAAAAAAGATGAATAGTAACAAGGAAAAAAATAATATGAATAGAGGTATAATAATAGAACCACCAAGACAAAATGAAGACAAATACATAGTGTGAAGTCTATTTTGTAATTCAGAAAACTTAACAGACATGACAAGAATATTTTATGACCTACTGAAACAGATCTGAATTATAACAGAGTGGTCCTTGAGGTGTTGAATGGTTTTTAGTAAAAGTTGAAATTAATTTTCGAACGAACGAAGCGATAAATAATTATATTTTCTTTGTATGCGATTGGCTACTCCAGATCCACACTTAGTGGATTATTCAGTAGAGAAGTGAAAAGGCTGTCAAAATTTAACTTATAATTTGAATTTAAATTAAAATTGTAAGTTGACAGTTGATGATCTGTAATGGGGAGTTCATTTTTGTTTAAGAACTAATGAAATTAAGGACAATTTTTGTTGGGGAATTTGAGAACTAAATTTAATACTAAGATCTTTAATAATGGGATGTACTATATATTGTCGGTTTGTCTATGCTTGAAAATTATTGTACTAAAATTACTGCAATATTAATATATATATAAAATCCTATTGATGATTTTATTATTTCGTATTCAGTATTTACTTTTATTAATAAAATTTTCCTTTCAGTAAAAATTTAAAAGCATATTGTCTATGGGAATTGTATGTGTCACTCACTTATGAGAGCTAACAAGGATCTGCGAACTGAAATTGCTAATATGAGTAGCATTGGCCATGCAGAAAGTGGCGGAAACGAAAGGGTCACTACTTTCTTACTTTATACGCAATTTTGTTTTTATTTATTTTTGAACAAATTGTGCAGTGTTGCGTGAAGCAAACTTTTTAATCAAATTTTTTAACAAAAGGTATTTCGCAAATACTATTTTCTTTACTTAAGTTAACTAAATATACGATGCCATAAAAGGGAGATTTGAGGACATGTGCAGTGTGGAAATGTGTGGAAGTGTGTTTCTGAAATTCCAAGAAGTTTTCTTTCAAGTGAAGCAACAGAGAATTTGTCGTCGGTACTTCAAATAAATCACAAATGCAACTTTTATTACGAATACAAATCCCTTTTGTTGCCACTGGTGTTCGCAGTGCCTTGCGAGGACGAAACTTTAGAGCCGCAGCAATACAAAAACTCCACGTATGAGGAGAGGTGGAAGTAGAAGGAGAAGGCGCAGCCGAAGTACACGTAGAATATAAGAAGCAAAATGGGCAACACATCGTATTAGGCTTGTTGTGTGATGCGTCAGATTGCGACAACATACACGCATCTCCTCCCGAAGGATTCGTATTCGTATAGGCAACAAAACATAATAAAAGTGCCTCTGCACATTTCAGTCAATTCTAATGTGAAAGTACATTAAGGAGCGCCTGTATTACCCTCCATCACTTGCCACTTGCCACTTACCATTTACCACTTTAATTTCTATTTTAGGCATGTAATCGACTCTTTGCCTGTAGTTGTGTTGTGTTGAGTATTTTCATTCACGAACACAGCCACAGCCACACACACTCAAAGTCAAGTGAAAATAGTAAAATAACATTAAAAGTGACTTAAAAAAGAAGGAGAATATAGCGAATTTCCGCAGAACAAAAAAAAGCAAAAGCAAAAGAAAAAAACACAAAACACAGAAAACACAGAAAACGACAAAAGCGCAAGAGGAAAAAGGGTGTATAAACTTTTATGACTTGAATTTACCTCTCATATGCTTTATCTCAAGTAAAAAAGAAAAAAACGAAAAAAACGAAAAAACCGTATTTTTTGCATTTGTTTTATGTACCGAACAAGATTCGAGTGGAAGGGGCTAAATTGCCTAAGCACTGAACATGCTATTGATTGAGTGTTCAGTGCCGCTGCGCCTCCTGCTCTGCCAAGGTAACTACCTCATATAGAACAACAGATAGTCGTAAAGCAGCAAATACTAACGAATGCGTGAAATGACTGCGGCATATTGAAATTTTTATAACCCAGTGCACTGCTACCACTTTTCCGATTTTCTGATACGTTTCCCCGTGCACGTGTGTTCGCGCCCAAATTTATTCCTGCTTTCTTATTATACTAAGCAGGATGAAGGTGCGGAGACGAATGATGAAGGTGTGTGGGTGTGTGGGTGCGTAAAGCAACCACAGTAAATTTTCATTTATTTAGTGTAATTAGAAAATTAATACCAGGGTTTGAATTGCTGTTGCTAATTGCATTGCTTGCATAATTGCTAACGCATTGCATATGAAAATGAAATAAGAATATGCATTAGCAACAGCAAAAAACGTAAACTGGTTTCATTTTGATTGCTTGCTAATAGTCAATTTTACATTTTTGACTATTATGCGTTTGGAATATATGCAACGTGCTTGCTTATGCGTTAGCTGCTTGTGTTTTGCTATTAGCAAATGTGTATAGATTTCTTCTTTTTGTTTTTGTTTTAAGGAAATGTGTACGCATTATTTCTTTGTTGGTGCATTGAATATAGTTGTGCAAAATTGTAAGTAATGTGTGTGCGTACAATTTGTATGCAATTAATATAATTTTATCTGTAATTAGATTATGCCTAAGTTTATGTTTTTTTTAATTATTAAATTTATGATATATATGATATATATATACATATATAACATATATATATATATTTATATATATATATATATATACACTTAGCAGAAAAACTCTGCGTACAGAAAGTAAATTTTGTCTCTTTGGCATTAAAGGTCGAAAGCTTATTTGGTGAAAACCGGGTACTGCCTTTTACAAAGAAAATTTGTATCCAACAATAAAACATGGTGGTGGAGGAGTAATGGTGTGGGGGTGTATGGCGAGTAATGGAGTTGGAGAAATTACATATTACATATTTTGACGCTTTTTAAATTCTTGTACGCAGACTTTTTCTGCCATCGATTATGCTAATTTTTTACATTTTTAATTATTGTAATTTTTTTATTAATCCGTTAAAAATAAGTTTTAGTTAAATATTAAGATAACGATTATAAGATTATTTCATAATTTTTTATTTGTTAAAACAAAATTTACTTTCTGTACGCAGAGTTTTTCTGCTAAGTGTATATATATATATATATGAATTAATAATTAATAATTAATTTTGCACAACTATATTCAATGCACCAACAAAGAAATAATGCGTACACATTTCCTTAAAACAAAAACAAAAAGAAGAAATCTATACACATTTGCTAATAGCAAAACACAAGCAGCTAACGCATAAGCAAGCACGTTGCATATATTCCAAACGCATAATAGTCAAAAATGTAAAATTGACTATTAGCAAGCAATCAAAATGAAACCAGTTTACGTTTTTTGCTGTTGCTAATGCATATTCTTATTTCATTTTCATATGCAATGCGTTAGCAATTAGTCGTTTGACAAAAATCGACTGGTCAATACTTATGCATTAGTCAAAATATGGTTGCTTTTGCTAATTTTCAGCAAGCAATTCAAACCCTGATTAATACATTTTATATTCTGTTTCACATCCTTACTTGTGTTTATTGCTTTTGTACTTGTATATGCTAATGCGACGGGGGTAGGCATAATGTTTAAGTAAACGATTTATAACGCTATCCTTTGCTTTTCATTATAATTTTTCGGGTTCTTAATAAGCAGACAAAAAATTCAATTAAATGGAACCAACTGAAATTAGCTAACTTGGAAATAAAATAAAAACAAAAATCTGAATTTTATATTTTCATAATAATTATGCCTTTTGCTGTATATAGGGGCGAAGGGGAAAATATTATAATTTACGGGTACAGTTAAAAAAGTATGACGTCAATTTCAAGAAATTTTTGAACGTTAGTATAGAAAATTAAAATAAAACGATATATAGTATGAAAATTTTAATTGACAAAAGTAAAGAAAACATCAGAAACAACATTACTAAATTTTTAAAATTTCATTGTATTAATATTGTATTAAAGTTTTATAGTACCCTGATGATGATGACTATAGATTATAGTCGAAATATCGATTAAGATAAAATCTTTTAAAAACCATAAAATTATTTGCGAAAACTGAAAGACTTACCAACACCGCCATTTCGAATCTTAGAATGGTTACAGCCTCCTCGGCGAGGTATGCAGATCTGACGACAATTATTGCTTAGTCTGATGAAGTGATAAACAGTAATTCAGTCAAGGGGTAAAGAGGAGTTTTGAAGATACCTCGAGTTAATACAGAGTAAAAGTGCTCAAATGCACTGGCTCAAATAGCTTCAACATAAACTTAACAAAATTTTTTAAAAAGTTTATTATAAAACAAAATTATTTTCAAAATATCTTAAAATATAGTCCTGGGTATACTAAAACAATATAAAATTTAGCAAGTAAATATAGGAGGTTTGTAGTAGGTTGTATTGTTATAAAAAGAAATTTAAAGATTGTAATTAATAAAAACGAAACTTTAATGTATTTAATTCTCCATATTCCTATTCATGTCTTTTAGCAGCCTATATAATGTACGGAAAAAACAGAAGAAAAGAACATAAACAATATTAATGATCTCCCTGTCTCTCTCTACCTGATATGCTTAGATTCATTAAAGAAACTAAACAATTTCAGTTATATTAGTCTATTTTTGTGTTCACACAGATTAGTCAACTAACTGACTGTTTTGGTCTTATTCTGGTCTTAAGAAAACAAAACAGATTAAGCAGGGTTGCATACTCTCGTCTTAGTTAAT